AAATATTATAAGCAATGACGATACGCATGAATTCAAACCCAAAACAATTTACCATACGAAAGCTTAATGTATGAGAAGTTTCACGAGTCAGCAGGCAAGCGTTCGGTTTGTGATGAGTTGCGCTCGATGCAATGCGAATGAAGTTGAATCTTTTATTTAGTTTTAAAATGGAGACATTATTTTATTGTTTCCCAAGTTGATATTGGGAATCAAAAAATAAGGAAAATTTATATATATATAGCTTATATTTCTTAAGCAGACAGAAATGCATTTTGACGGGACTAACAACTCCCTATGAGCAAGCTGGAATATTAAATAAAGTACTAAATGGAATTTAAAATAAATGTAAACATTAGCAATGCATCAGAGTATTTATTTGAACGCGTTTAATTACACTTACGAAATCTGTCTCTCCCTAATTTGGGAGGTCTCTCGTCGCTGGTAAATCTCACCGGATCTGAGTGCAGGAAAACGCAAGCCACATTAACGAACTAAGCAAAAATTAATAAGCTGTTAGGCTTATTATTATTAATGATAATTTAAAATACGCGGTGGCCAATTATTAATTTTGAATTTTGTAAAAACATAATTAACGACTTTATTTTCGTCCGTTAATGTCGTATAAAGAGGCAGAAAAATTATTATCTATTCCCTGTTTGCTTGTTCACGAAAAGGATACCAAAGAGCACGTCTGGTCAAATGATGTCGACGTAACTGATGATAATCTCTTCTATCACTGCCAAACTGCTTCAGACTCAGTCAGTCAGTGTATAAATCTTACCCTGGTTAGCGGGCCGAGGCTGGTACGTTTGGAACTCCTGGCGCGGGGCCGCGGCTGGGGTCGCAGTCCCGGGCACCTGTAGAGCTTTCTGTACTAAGCCCGTGAGATTAGCAAGTTGACGCTCCATTTTCTCCACACGCAGACGCTGCATATCGTCTACTTGCGTAGTGAGTCTGAAAAGTTACATGTCATCGACAATCCGATAAAAATAATATCGGAAATTTTTTTTTCATCAAATAATAAAACTATGTGAAATAAAAGTAATAGAAATGATTCGCTTTTAGCTGTATATAATCGCAAAGCGTTTAATTGAAGTATTGTGGCCACAATAGCGCGCAGCTTGATTTATTTTGTTTATGATTTATCAAAGAAATTAAGTACAAAAACATCCTAATACCATTATTCTTTAGAATAATATATGGAATATCAAAATAAAACAATAATATCAGTCATATTTATACCCGTATTATTTCATTCAAGTGTTTGATTCATAACAGAATATAATTAGGGTTAGAACCCATAGAATTAAGATTTTATAGCGTTTCATGTTTTGGTATTACCTGGCGTCGAACGGAGGACGAGGCATTGGACGTGGGGCTGTTGTGATGGCATTGACGCCATACAACTGATATGAATCGTCGACGATTACAGTGTCGCTGCAAATTTTAAAGATTTCTACTATAAGATTTCATAGAAATGGAATAACAGTGACTTATTTAAAATGAGAAAATGTTTAGCGAAAACAAGTCGGTGAATATGTTATACCTGGCTTCCTCATCTATGATAGGAGCAATTGTCGCTCTTCCAGCAGCCGGGCCCAAGAACTGGGTGTAATAAGGGTCTTCGTATGGCACACGAGGAGCATTGCGCTCTGGAGAGGACACGTATCCATCCCCGGACAGGCCTGCAGCGGAATAATTATTGAAATCTAAACTAAGATTTGAGAACAAACGTTAACCAAATTAAAATCTTTAAAATAATTATTTCTTGTAAAAGTTTTAGTAACGATTGACCTTCTGCACACATTCAGTAACTGACATAAAACATTCAGTAAATATTCAGCTTTAATTAAGCATTTACTTTTTTAACCATGTAATTACATTAAAAAAATGTTAACCTGTGTATGGGTTATAATTAATGAAACAGAAAATCGTAAGTAAAACTTTAAACAAAACTTATTAAAAAAAAAATGCATGCGAATAGTGAAGTGCGTCTTGTTATTAGATGATACCTTAACAATTCATAACAAAAAGAAGTTAACGGTTTCCATAAAACTTTATTCCTAACTACGAGACTTCTCATTAATATTAACACCATAACCGTTAATTGTATTAAGGTAAAGCGAGAAATGCTTTCGGTTAGATTAATGTTGCGTAGTTGTCTGAAATTTTAGTGAATGATATGACAGTTTAATAAAACACTTAGGAGCATATAAAGGTGAAGGGGAGAGAAGGGAGAACCGTAATAAACATCAATAATAACAACGTGTTTATAAAAGTACAAACATACAATGACAGTAATTACACAGAAAAATAATTTGTAATTTGCAGTTATTAGCGAAATATGAATTAATTGTCAAGTACAAGCCTGAGCAAAATAATTTTTAAAGCAAAAGTAACGTGTTTATATGCCGATGGTCTGATTACCAGTAACAGAGTAAAGCTGTTCTGTCATCCGAGGACAGTCGGCGGCAGCGAAGGGGAAACATCGCTCCGAACCAGTGCCAGGGAGGTACGAACGCAACGGCTTGGTCGGCACTGGGGGATGCCCACACCTGTCTGTACCTAATGTGACAGACCCTATTTGGACAATCTGACATTTGGTCGCCAACAATTCAATCTAATTTTATAAAGAAATTTTATTATTATTGTTATTATTATGTGGTAATAGGCGAACAGCTTATAGCTGATATGCCTATATGTGTGTTGGTGTTTTTGTCCAAGCCCACACCAAGAAATTCATGGCAAGAATGTACTAAATTGGATTGTCTTTGCACCATTTGTCCAGTTCGTTTTTAAAACTAATTACATAGGGAGCATCGACCGCGTCTTATTGTTTTTGCAATTATTGCTTGAGCAATTTTGTTGAAAGACACTGATGAAGATGAATAATTTTTTTGGTCCTGGACACAAGAATAAGAACGAAAGTGGTACGAGGTTAATCAAATTTTAACTGTTTTTGATAAACTAAAATAACAAAGTACAGATCAGAAACTTACCCGTAGTTGGTATAGTTTTTACACGATCAGCAGGGACAGGAGGAGCAGCCGGTGAGAATGCTCGTAGCATTGATCCGCCTCGTGGCAAGGTGCTTGGAGCTGAAGTACCCATGTAGTAAGCAGGCGCTTTAACCTAAACATTTTGTTTCCTTAGTTATTAAGATATATTTTTATTAAGCAATAAATTAATGTTGAAATCTTGCTAATATTGTGAGTTAATAATATTTTACACGTTGCTGCGTTTACAAATAGATGTTTAGTGTTTGATTACTTTGATATTCTAAAGGTAAACATCTATATATATTTATTTATGAGATAAGTATAAGCAATGGTCGTATACACTGTATGCATAATATGAAACGATATTTTTATAGACGGAAGGGCAAATTAGCACACGATCTGATGGGACGTAACTACCGCCGACCATGAACAACTGCAACACCAGAAGAATTGCACGTCCGTTCCCGGCCTATTTTTATTTAATAAAGGTGAAAAAGGAGCTCACAATCCACCTGATGGTAAATGGTTACTGTGGCTCTAGACAACTACATCTATCCTTAGTTAAGAATCAAAATGCAGATGCGTTATCACCCGTGAGGACTAAGATAGAATGCCTCGTTCCTAGTAAAAGGGGTCTCCGGTTCTCTACACACACCATACGAAACGCTGGTATTCTGTGAGAGCGTCCTACCCCGGTCGAGCTGACCCATTCGTGCTACAACTATAATATAGCTGCATGGCTGTACAACGTTAAACGTGCCACGGACTTTTTTAAAAGGGTTAGTAGTGGCAGTGTAAGAAAATTCACTAACTTATATCATCTCGTAGGTGTCGTGAAAGGGAAACAAATCAGGTGATGGGCTTTTTATATTCTTATTTACTTAATAAGAGCTAAAATACAAAATTGCGGTAGCCAAGTAAAGCAACTATGACTAAAAACCCCTATGATACCAAAAGTGAGGTCCCGGGTTCGCATCCCAGGTCGGGTCGGACATTTCCTTGCCCTAAAACCCTCTCAGAAATGAGAGGAGGCCTGTGCCGTACTATATAGCTGCCTGCCTGTAACTTTAATTTTGATCAGTAAATTTGCGGTGCTTCACCCCCGTGCTTCGGAAAGCGCAACTTACGTCTGAAGGACATTATTATTAAATCGTCACTTAGATTGACATTTCGAGGGGAACGTTCATCATTTGAACTATCACAGCTCCGTGTTAAAGTTTCAACTAAAATGACAATTAATATTACGAAATACCATCATAAAAATTAGTAATATTTATTCAGTTAGGTATATCTGCCCATTTCATAATAGTTTACAATATGAACGTAGTTTTATAGGGAAGTATGATTCTCTTTAATTTCGAACACACTCAGAACTTAAAAATGTATTGTAAGAAATGTCTCAATGTTTACAAATATTAGCTCATTGTAATAACAGTGTGCAGAGAGAGAATCGTTAGTTGCTTCAGTTTTACTAGAGAAGAAACACATGAGGTGGATATTAAAGATCTTTAATTTTTAACAATATGTTATTTGTAATTTATAAATTATTCATATAAAATAGAAGAAAACAAAAAAATAAGGTAAGGATGTACAATATTATGTTCTATATCTATGTATTCCTAGTTTTATTTAAGCAAACTCACGCTAATGCGTTAGTTAATAGGGTTTTTTTTTTATAAAAAGAACAGTAACCAGCTTAAGAAAGTTTTATTACAATTTGGTGTATTAAAATAACTTGGCCAATTCCAACTCAGGGTACATGTATTCTGTGATTCCAACCATCCAAATTTTACATATTGCAGTTCTTATTTAATTTGTCATCCATTCGTAGTAAACTTAGCTACCTTTGTTTTAATACGAAGAAGTATTATATATATATATATATATATATATATATATATATATATATATATATATATAAATTAAGTATAAGTATTATACATTTAAGCAGTCAGTATTTTAGTAAAAAAAATATTATCCGTTTCAGGATCATCCAAAAGAATGTCGATATCTTTCGTTGTTGCTGCTTTGAGCATCATAGCGTCCAGCTATTGCATTAACAGACCAGTTTATAAGATTGTTCTCACGCAGAAAGGATTTTCACAGGTATTATTTTTTATATTATTAGTATTACCATATTTAAGAAGCACGATGAAGTTACATTTCATATAATTAACGTAAACAGGTACTGTTACGTTACCTACACAAAATATATGTTTTATCGGAATTAGCGACAAGACAATACCGTGAACTTATAACGTGTATATTACGGTGTACTGGCGGTGTAAGAATATTTTCTACCCCGAATCATCCCGGGAGTGTCGTAAGAGGCGATAGAGGGAAACAAACTAGGAGATGGGCAGCAGCGCCTGCACACAGAATACATGTACCCTGACGGGGCCTGCCTAACAACGATTAAAAATAAATGCTTAAAACTATACCCAATATAATTTGTCCACCCGTAATAGTTTACTGCTGGACGCACACATATGCATGTGTTTTTAAATAATTAGAGTGACAAACGAGCACACAGTCCACCTGGTGGTAAGTGGATGCTGAGGCCCATAGACATCTACATTTAACCTCGATTAATAATCAAAATACTGATGCGTTGTCACCCCTGAGGACTAATTGCTGCTATTTTTCGCTGGTATTCTGTGGGAATATGTTTGCATCAGTTAAATGTGTGCAGTGTGTCTTTAGTTTATGTCATAGTTTAATAAGTTAGTTTGTTTACTTTCTAAGTTTGGTATAAACATTTTCAGTTTATTCAATATGACATCGATACGCCGCCAATTCGAGAATTCACATTTTGCGCTTGGATTCGATTTTATGATCTCGACAATGAACAAGGATTGTTCTCTTACGTAGGTATGTGGTATACTTTTACAAACATTGTTAAATATATTTCAGAAGGACTAAGAACAAAAACAGCAAGCACATTCTGCCTGCCAGAGCTGGTATATTTATAGACTACGAGGCATTCCATCTTAGTCTGCAAGAGTGAAGTAGTCTTCTTTGTATGAAGTTGCCTGCAGATGTCCATGAGCGTTTTTCACATCAGTTTTGTAAAAAAATACACACACACACACACACACACACACACATATTTTATATAATAGTGTATTAATAATTATAATAATTAATATATAAATAATTGCTTTTAATTTTTGGTAATTGGAAGTAATTTTAAGTAAAGACTAGAAATGAGTTGGGGGGTGACTCGAACTTTAGGCCTAGTCAGTTTGAATAGCCTCTCATGTAGAAGATATCATGGGGTCATGGTTGAATAGGGGCAAAAAGTTCTCATTACACTCCTAGGGGGTCAATGCCCAAAAACCAAAAAAAATAATATTCTTATTTCGGCTATAACTCCGCCTCCTTCGGAGGTTCTTACACAGTCTTTGCTTCCCGCATCCCACTTGATGGTAATATAAATACATTTCTTTTAGAATATAAATTTTTAAACACTTTATCACAATTATTAAGCCAAACTTCGTTTAAAAAAATAAGGTAGTTGAACTTTTGTACACCATAATTTATCCATACTTTAAGTATAGAATCGTAGTTGAACTATATCCACAATTTCGTCCCAAAGTCTACGTAGAGAGAACTGAGGTGTAATATACATTTTTAGAGTTAATTATAAAGCTAAGTATCTTGCGAAAAACAGTTTTAATTAACTTGACCGACTTTGATTGAATTCCAATCGATTAAGAATAATTTTCGGAATTACTTTGACTAAAATCAGCCGAGTTGTTAACCACCATTATAGCATCAGATTGTCCAAGGACGGATACACACCATTTACAACCGAGATTAGTTCACTTAGACATTTATAACTGCAATCGTAATAGTACTATCGTAAAACCCCGAACCATCAGTTCCACCGGTCTTACCAACCGGAGATGTGATACTGGCTCTAAACATGAACTGAAAATCCAATGTGGCATAAAATGTGTAGTCCTCTGTAAGTTTCATGCAACATTAACTTTGGTAGGGTGAGGTTATATTTAGTTCGCTTAGCACAATTTCCATATATCCAAAATGCTTATACTTAGGCAATTCATGAATATTTAGAAATATTGTATGTAAAGTCCTCTTCGCAATGTGGTAACTATGTTCATGTCTAGTGTTCGCGGGCTAATAATGAAAAATCAAACAAAGCTTAAAAAGATATTTTAATTAAATTTAATATAATTAAACTGTAGGTAGTAACACTTCACAAGAACTTCGCAATCATTTTCCAAATAGAAGGAATCGCTGTAATGAGGTAATATACATTGTTAATGAGTACTTGATTGGCCACTTCACGGTCTAGTTGAAGTTTTTTTTTATATTGAATTTATGAACGTACGTTTTTCATTCCAGTAAACGGCAATCGAATTATACGTCTGTGGCTGGACTCCGGAGGTCAATTTATGAAAGTTTCAATAAACGAAAAAGTTGCCACAAAATTTTCTGTAGACATTGTACGAGATGTTTGGAAACATATATGCTTATCTTATCAATCCGATTATGGAGCTTGGGCACTATATATCGACGGAAGGCTTGTGACCTGTGAGACAATGCAAAGTGTGAGTAATAGAAATTAATATTAAAATGTGCAAAATTAATAAAGCTTTGAGATTAATTATTGATGAAAATTTCTTTAGTGTGTACTAAAATATAGAGCAAAAGCTAGAATATAAGAAAAATACTAGTGCTGAATAACGCAATTTTGGATCAACAAGGACTCGGTCAAAAACATTCTTAATAGAATGTTTCACTATATTCTGCACGTACATTGCGAAAGATTAGAAGACAAAGTTGCTTAATGCATCAATATATAGCACCTTAAATATCATTAACACCTCAGGCTAGTACCTTGGAGCAAACCTAACCTATCATTCAATATTACTTTCATTTTCGCTCTATCTATAATTTGCAGCTGAGCGTGTTAATAATGAACGTAAATAAAATGAAATGTATGTCACTAACAAAAATATTTGTTTACAGCTCTTTGGTTTCATTTTGCCTGGAGGTGGAAGTGTAATAATTGGATATGGCACTAGTCATGGTAATTTTTTTTATAATATTACGAGTTGCAAATTAAACGATTACCCTAAACCAAAAAAATTCTTACAGTGATACCAAGCGGCTTAGAAGGCGAAGTGTTCGGAGTGAATATGATATTAAGCTCGACAATAGAAAGGAATCATACATTAAAAAGGGATCCATTATACGAACAAAAACGATTCCTTCAAAATAGGGTAATTGGTAACAAAAATTTGAAATATATTGTGCTTGGTGAAATGGATTCTTATGAAATAAAAAACAATTTTGAAACCACTAAACCACCTTCATCTCCAAAAACAACAAAATATTATATACATTTTGCACTTCCATACAGCTTTGCTGAAAATAACATTCACTTTGATAATATATCGTCTAGTCCTAAATCAGCAATTGAATCAAATGAAAGAGAAATCATGGATTTTTCAATGGTTGATCCTACATTAACTACAGATAAATCAAAAATAAATTTTTGGAGTCTTTTACATCAAGTTGGAAAAGAAGAAAAAATTAAAGGATATCCAAAAAACAACATGGAGGTAGAAAGAGATGCTTCAACTAGTAATTTATTTACAACTACTATACCTATATGGGAGACATCACCTACAGCGCTGCTAAAACGCGGAAATTACAAATCAGTAAAACCTAAAAATCAAAAGTTTCCATCTTTATATGAGTTAGGTGCAAACTTTAATAAACTAAATGTAAGTTTAAATAATAAACCAAATAAAGGAATACTAACCGATACCCCATTTGTACCTCCAGACAATGAATCAAATATGTATGGGCAATGGACTAGTTCTAAATATGCTGGAAGCGTTTTAAATTATCTCAAAAAAATCAACTATCGTAATAGAGAACCCATTAAAGTACCGGCAAATGTACCACTTGTTAAAATATCAGATAATTTCGAGCATCTTACAGATTTCAAAGGATCTAAAGTACATACACCTCTTAAATTTCAAAGAAGAAATTTTGAAGACAAACAGTTTGATAAACGTGATGTTGAAGACTCAAGGAAAATTAATAAAATAATAGAAAAAAATATTCAAATGAAAAAAAATTATAATAATACATCGAGTCATACTGACTTAACTCGTACAAATGTAACAAAGAAATTTAACGCATATCATAGATTTTATAGAGATACTGATAGCCAAACGTCTAGTGAATATAAATTAAGTGCAGGAATTTATAAACCTAAGTTATTTACAAAGTCACCAAATAATAAGTTTACAAAAACCTCATTTAATTCCGAAGGAAACGAAAAGAGTAATATTCTAACAATTTTGCCTTTTATAAAATCAGCTGAATATTTGATGGACGATTCAAGTAACGTAAATTCAAATGAGATCAAAAATAATGATATGTTCGCTAGAAGTCTACCTCAAGGAAATAAATGGCATAATGTGCAAACTTATAATAATGATTTTACTCCACGTCGTCTTAACCTAGAAATCGAAGGATCTAAGAAAAACACCCACATTTCAGAAGCAAATAAGAAGCTTCCTTCCGTACGACTTAAGTATAAGCCTGATTTACGAAAGTTTATGACAAGTACAAAAGACGTAACTATTATGGAGGGACGTGCACTTGCTAAGCAAGTATCAAATCAATCTAATAATCATGATTCTATTTCAATACGTAAATACAATCGTGGATTCTTACCAAAACAGAAAAGTCGTTCAAAATCTTCGGATAAAATAAACCAAGCTTCTAAAACGAATTTGAAACAAAGTTTCTCTAAAGGTAAAGATGATTTCAACAAAGAAGTCACCTTAAGAAACCTTATAAACGAACAATCTATGGTTAGCCTAAAAACAGAACAAAATCATCAAACAAATTTAGAAGGTGATGACAAAGCTCAAGAAATTTATCATTTCAGATCTGATAATAGAGGCAAAAAATTGAAAGCCCGCCCTGCTCTTAAGTTGAATGTTTGCAAAAACATTGAGTTAAATGACAATGTTTTATATGCACAACCCGATGGTTCCATTGATCGGACTCGAATAGTATCACCTGTCAAAGATATTAATATAGGTATAGAATTCATAATGCAAAACTATAAAAGATGTTCCTTACAAGACTCTGCGCTTGAAAAGAATCCTTTTCTTTTCATAGATTGGAACAAAACGCCAGTTAGATTATTTGGGGGTGCGTATCCTAAGAAAACGACAGATCTATGTGGTTTCTTTTAATTAAATTTGTTTACTTTAACTAACATTTTTGATTATTAATATAGATACGGAGAATAGTGAAATAGTCCGGATTTTGATTTTGACTGTTATATTAAAATTTTGCAATCGAATAAATAGTATAAAGTTTAAATACTAATGAAATGATAACAGATAGAAAATAAGGAAATAAAAATATCGAAATTTACATAACGGCTACACATTATTTTAATAAACTACCATACTACCATACCAAAGTAGAGGCATACGAAGATGCTAACACGAACTAGAGAAGTAGAGTGGACTTCCGATGCTTCATTACTTTTATCTTGGAAAGTAAAGTATTATGGCAGTAAATAACTACCTTTAGTTTGTCATCGTTACTGTTAAAAAAAAAGAAAAAGTGATTGTGAGTAATGAGAGTTTGGCATATAGAAGACATAGAAACCAAATGGGCTTAAGTTATATCTGGGAGTTATATTAGTGATTACTTACTACTTCTAGGTAAGTGCGAATAGGTTTTTGTAAAGGCAGGGCACTATCTTCGGCTTCATCGCCAATTACGATCAAGTGGGATAGTTGTCAAGCGCTGGCTAAGAATAGTAAAAAACACCTCAATGAAACTTCAATATTGCATGCACAAACACAAACGCACCCGGTTTGCCACATGTGTCAATATTTAAAAAAAAATTATTATAAAATAATAACTTTCAAAAAATTAATCTGGAAACGATATAAATATATAGTAAATTTAATTACATCCATTATTATGTAAACAATGAACAACGCCTTATAGAGCACTCCACATTTTAGCAATACTAATAGGAGGTCAAAAAGTGAGGCCGTTTAAAACGATTTCATTAAAGAGTTTTTGGTTAAGCACTCATCAGTATATTTTACACATCATCATCAGACTAGGCCTCCTCCAAGGAATGCCACAAAGCTCGTTCTTGATCCACCTGCATCCATCGACTTCCTGAATGTCTTACCAGGTCGTCACTCCATCTAGTGAGGGACTGACCTGCACTTCGCCATGTGTTTACACTACGGGGCTGCCACTCAAGAACCTTGCTTCCCCATCAGTTATCTGTTCTTCGAGTTATAAGGCCGGCCCATTACAACTTCAGCTTACTAATCCGTTGGGCTATGTTGGTTACTATGGTTCTACTGCGGATATCCTTAATTTTAAGTCTATCACGCAGAGTGACCTTGAGCTTTTTTTAACCAGCAGTGAAGGACCACGTCTCTGATCCATAAGTCACATGTTTTCAAGTTTTGAGGTATATCTACCTAACAAGAGGTTTACACATACATAATATAAATTAATTGTTAAAATATTAATACTACTTTTTATTTACTTAGAAATGCAAATTGCTTCGTGATAGTTCTCTTAACGCCCTGGTATTGTACACTGATTAACAATTTAAGCGGTGGCGGTGGGAATCGAACTGATGCAGTTGAGTACTATGTGAAATTTAAGATAAGCGTCTAACCGTTGAGCTAATTAGTTACTACGCAATTTTATCGAAAAATACTGATGCTTAATGGTTTATTAAATTTATATTTTCAATCTAAGATTTTCTTATGACTAATCGATTAATGTAATTTCTAAATGGTGGCCGTGAAGGACTCTACTTGATTGATATCATCGCTAAATTATAATTGAATATGTTGAATATAATAGTTGTCACTGACTCAAAAAATCCTAAATATTCCAGGCATTAGGAGCTTAAGTGGTCATTTGCGATTCGGCATTGAAGGAAAATCCCCATAGCTGCATACCGATGATAACAAAATTACTTGAATACAATGCCTCTAAAGCGAAATCTTATTACAATGTAACTTAAATGGTTACAATCGTCCTTTTATTTTATAGCAACAGCAAAAAGTTATATTTTGGAATATAAAGGAGACAGGGATTTCTGGACCCAATTGTAATAAGTTGAAATATGGTTTAAAAAAAGCGCTATATTTTTCTTTTTCAAAATATAAAAAGATTGCCCAATTCACAATCTGGAAGACGACAAATCTTGAAAATAAGTTTATGTAACGAATAAAATAGGAAATCGATTACTTTAATCGATTAATGTGAATGAGTTTTAACAATTAAACATAAAAACAACTTACATCAGATGATTGATTCATTCAAAGTAAATAGATACATTACACGTAGTGTCAACAGTTTAAAAATTAAAATATCAACATAATAAAAATAAATCTTAAAATCGATTCACGTTTACGTGTTTATGTTTGTCAACTGTATTTTTAATCTGTGCTGATATTGACAGCTCCTGCCTGACTCAACTCAATTTATGATCACTCGTCTCGTATCGTTTAGTACGTGTGTGTTTTAAGTGTTTACCGTTGTTTCATTGATTTATATTGGTCGACCACTGCTTTCTTTCTACGTACTTCCGATCTTACTGAACTTGTACGACCCTTGCTAACATACCGAACACCGATAATCTTCTTTACTCGTTTGACTTTGGCTCGTTATTGTGGATTTTACGGCCTGGATTTTATCTATTAGATATTGACTCAATGGATCGCTGTGTGAATTGGGACATAGTGACTAGTCGCTGTAATACACTAGGCCCACGATCCTTCCAAAATAGCATTCGCACTTCAAAAATCAGCTGTTTAGCATAGGTTTTTGCCAACTTGTTGCATAACCTCACTTTTACTAAATCACTTATATTTCTCCTCTCAGATTGCCAAAGTCCGCAGAATTTTCAGTTATGATTTGATAATATATAAGCTATTAATTGACATCACGTTCATCTTTTTACAATCTGGGCCCAAGAATGTATGAAATCGTATCAGTCTCCTTTGTCAATTATATACCTTATGAGAATTAATGTATAAACCTTTATGCAAATCACAACGTAAAATTAGCTAAAATAAATGTAGATGTTGACCGTGTAGTGGCAATATCCATCCACTCACATCGTTAGCACCCATATCTTTCCGTGGGTGTCGCAAGAGGCGACAGGAGAAACTAACCAGGAAATGGGCAGCAGCGTCTTCCCGGTAACAACTAAAAATGAAGAACTCTATTTAGTAGTGAATAATGATAGACTATAACGGAAACGGAAGATGCAGATGTAATACGAGAAAATAAGTTTTCTGATTTCATAAAAAAATAATAAAAAGAGAAAACGAAGGCGAAAAAATTACTTATAATATACCATACTAAGGACATCGTTGATTTTTATAGTGTACCCAATATGCAGTTTTAATCTTTAGGAGATGAGAGTTGTATAATTGCTAATCTGACGGTGCATGGGAATTACATTTAGAAGCTATAGTTTGACATGTACCAGTAAAAAAGAGAAGTCAAGTTTTTTTTTTAAATATACCATGCGTGAGGTCCACAACATAGCAGCATTGAACTACATCCACTAACTTGCATCATACATCGGACTGAAATATTTAGAAATTAGAACTACCTACCTATATTGCTGACTTTTTCAAAATTTTTAAAGAATACTCTACTTTTAAAGAATACTTAGTTACTTGTGTATAACGTTGAAACAGGCCTTATTGCAATTTATTCGTAATAAACTCGAACGAAAATTGTAAGCGCAATTCCGCATTTAAACACAAAAAGGAATGAGGTTGCATAAACATTATGTAAAAGCCTAAAAGTATATAAATAACAGATACAAGGAGATTTTTGTTGGAATTCTTTTCTTTTCCACTTCATTACCGCTGTCATCGTCTAAAGCCCATCCCAAGTTCACTGCTAGACATAGGCCTCCCCCAAAGATAGCCATAAAGAACGGTACAGTACAACAAATCAATCAGCTGTTGTTGTACTGAATCGTTCTTTATGTTATTATTTCCTGGTGGTTTTCGTTTTACAACTGCGAGCGAGTTATTATTATCATCAGATTCTTTCATTCATACATACATTATAGCTTAATTTGATAAAACCTTTTTGGCGTTAAAAATGTCCAGAATGAAAGAAAAAATAATATAACTTTTTTAAGTTAGGTTAAAAAGACTATAAACAAACTGTAACTTTTTTTATAGGAAAGGTGACAAATGAGCACACAGTCCACCTGTTGGTAAGTGGTTGCTGTGAGCCATAGACATCTACATCTATCCTTAATAAAGAATCAAAATGCAGATGGGTTGTCACCCGTGAGGACTAAGATGGAAGGCCTCTTTTCCAGTAAAAAAAGTCTCCGGTTCTCTAAACTCACCATACGCAACACAGTTGTGTTAAGCTGCTATATTACGCTGGTATTTTGCGAGAGCATGGTCCTTCCATGGTCGAGCCGGCCCATTCGTGCTACAACTGTACTATTAATATAGCTGCAGTATGGCTCTCCACGTATAAAAACTTTGTCGAGGCGCATTCGTTTGCAGATATAATAACGTTGACATATAATTTAATTACTCATCTAGTTAAACTGCAATGTGTCAGCAAAGTTCGGAATAAAAAACAGCGACGCAAAGGCAACACACTGCCTTTGCGTCGCTGTTTTAAAAAAAAGTTGAATGTCATGTTTTTATTTGGATTGAAAATTTTGTTCTAAATAAAAACATGACATTTACCTTTTTTTCAGAAATCAAAGACATTAATGTACTGTATAAATAAAATGAGAGCAGTAAGACGCATTTACACTGTAACTTAACATAATATCAACGATACACGCTTATGAAGTTATATTGCTTGCTCAATATATTTTATTTCTAACGTTTTTTTACTCTTAAAACCCTCACAAGAATGGGTGGAGGCCTGTGACCAGCTGTGGGACGTAAATACGTTGTAACTTTGTTTACTTTGCTTTTCTTACTTCTAATATTATATCTTGAATTTAATTTGGAGGAAGTATTCCAAAAAAACAGTCGATATTATACACTTAACATTACTTGTATAAATTATCATATCATTGACGATGGGAGTGACGAAATTATATTCAGGTCAAAATCAGAAGGTCTATACCGTTCGAAATTTCATCAATGAACAGGTTTGAAAGTCAGAAATAATTTTACTTTTTAAGGACCTTATTGCT